GGAAGAATGTTTATTGCTATTATCAGCGCGGCCTCGGAATCCTGGATTTCGAGTTAGCCTTATGCTGCCCCTAAGCCCACTCTATCCTGCCCCAGCTAGTACACAGTCTTTGGTGGCACATTTTGCATAATGCCGCATTACTCACTAAAAACAACTTACTATATTGCTGGCCTAGTTTGCTCGCGCGTGCAGCTGTGAGGTAGTAATGCTAATATATAGAGTGACACTGTTGTCATTACACAGAATTCCAATACACTCCGAATGTGGAATTATTTATCTCACTGGACGTTACAGTTAACACCGAACGTCTCTAAGTTAAGGTGGAATTGATATCGGAATGACAATATTACTGATGGAAGGGGGAGTTATCGCTAAATATCGCACGTACGACATATCATACAGTTCTCACGCGCACTTACTCACATTACCTGTGTGCGGGCGGGCTATTCCTTCACTTGGCACGAACACGGTATTCCCGTTGTCACTACACGCTGAGCGATGTATACTTAACCGCACCTATTGTCATCAGCCCATACAAGACCGCCGCGGGCGATATCCAAGTGAAAACTGAAGGCCAGAGACATTTCACTCCCGACTTTCCTCTCTCGGAGGCGAACCTTTACTCGATTCCCAGCGCACGGTGGTGACGTGGTCTTTGCGTGTATGCATGCAGGCAGCGTGGTGATGATGGCATCGACACGCACAAGTGCGTTCCCGAGCGACTCCGCCGACGGAGCGAGACTGCGCCTCGCGAGTCTTCAAAGTAAGAGTTCTATAATCGAGTGAGACTCGTTGCTTTCACTGGCCGCGGTCAGGGCAGTGGGTGCAGTACGTGCTAGCTCTACCGTTACAGCCACAGGCACTTGGAGCGTTTCAATAAAATATAATGCTAAATAAATACGAAATCTATTTACTACCAAATTAAGTCTTAATGTTTATCTACTCTCTTTCGCCTATTGTTGCTGACAATTTCCTGTAAATTCCGTGCAAATACTCCTCTGCAACACACATGTCCATCGCACGCACGCTGCAGCACACTCACACGTAAATATAGTGTCTATATAATATAGATATAGAGCTCTACATTTATGTGTCAGCGTGCGGCAGCGTGCGTGCGGTAGACATGTGTGTTGCAGAGGAGCATTTGCACGGCATTTACAGGAAATTGTCGGCAATAATAGGCGAAAGAGAGTAGAGAAACATTAAGACTTTGGTAGTAAATAGATTTCGTATTTACTTAGCATTATATTTTATTGAAACGCTCCAAGTGCCTGTGCATGGTTACAGCCCTTCGTTCCGTAACAGACACGGCGCAGGGGTACTCGGAACGGCTGCTGCTACCTTCGTGAAAGACAGATGACGGAAGGACCTGAGGAGACGGAAAAAACGCTCCCGTATATCTTATCTCAGCGGCGAGCTTTGCAAGGAATGTTAGCGCGTGGGAAAACCAACACCTGAGACAACTCTACGAAACTAGCGCCGGTTGAAATGGCGTACGTGACAAGAAACGGAAGATGCGTGCTGAGGTGGCGGCGGGGGGAGGGGCAACGCAAATTATCGTCTGCTAGCGTGTCAGCAGTTTACCGATGACGTTCCGAGGCGTCGCGCTGACATGACAATCACATCTCTCTGTATGACACGCGACACTGATATGACAATGCTCGCGGGACAGGGATCTTCCACGTCACACGGGCGCAGCGCTGAACGCTCCTGCGTTACACGACACACGACACACGACAGCGACACACGACACACGTCAGAGTGTCAGAGTAAACCACGCGGCTGACGCGTATGCATGCAGGCTTTTCAAGCAAACCCACGGGGAAAAATTGAAGAAAAGTAGGAATACTTTATAAAGCCTGCGAACGTTCATGTTTGTAGTGGATAGAAACGTAACGGCGTGTTTTGCAACATCTATAGCATAGCATAGTATGGCATGGTATAGTATAGTATAGTATAGTGTAGTGTAGTGTAGTGTAGTGTAGTGTAGTGTAGTGTAGTGTAGTGTAGTGTAGTGTAGTGTTAGCTGTGTGTTAGTGTATGTGTGTAGTGTAGTATGTAGTGTAGTAGTGTATGTAGTGTAGTGTAGTAGTGTAGTGTAGTGTAGTGTAGTGTGTAGTGTAGTGTATGTGTGAGTGTAGTGTAGTGTATGGTGTAGTGTAGTGTAGTGTGTAGTGTAGTGTAGTGTGAGTGTAGTGTAGTGTAGTGTAGTGGTAGTGTAGTGTAGTGTAGTGTAGGTAGTGTAGTGTAGTGTAGTAGTGTAGTGTGTGTAGTGTAGTGTAGTGTGTAGTATGTATGAGTATAGTAGTATATTAGAGTATAGTATAGATAGTATGCTCCTGCATGTTGTGACGTTTTCATGTGCGTCGTACAGTGAGTCAGTACTTTTGTGGGACTCCATGGGACAGTTTGTCTCTCTCCTCCCTTCGTTTGTCACTCTTTCGCGCTCTCTCTCTCTCTCTCTCTCTCTCTCTCTCTCTCTATCTCTCTCTCTCTCTCTGCTCTCTCTCTCTCTCTCTCCTTCTCTCTCTCTTTCACTTTCACTCTCTCGCCCTCTCTCTCTTCTCTCTCTCTCTCTCTCTCTCTCTCTCTCTCTCTCTCTCTCTCTCTCTTACTCTCTCTCTCTATCTCTATCTCTATCTCTATCTCTATCTCTCTCTCTCCCACAACACGCTTTTTCCCGCACATCCCCTTCTCTTTTCTATCCCTCCTTCATTCCACATCTCTCCCTTCCTCCTTCTCTCCCCTATCCCTCCCTCCCTCCCTGCTTCTCTACATTTCTTTACGGCCGCTCTCTTTCCTCTTTATTTTCTGTTCCTTTCCTTCCTTTGCTTGCTCGCTCATTTCTCTCGATGAGGTATCGATTGAAACGACAGCAGGGTCAAACTCATTAGACTAGTGAGTAGTTACAAAAGTGTTGACAGCTTTCACACAATGCAATTAAATAACCGTCGTTGACATCGGTATTACCTAACAATGGCTTCATGAAATCTGTCCGAGAGCTTCAGTTATAGATTCCGTTTAAGCGGTTAGCGTGCCGACTGTGTCTTGCCAGTGAGGAAACGGTGGCTTCCGCACACCTCCTACGTACACTCTGACTCCGTGCGTAAGACAGCACGCACATCGTTCCGACTCGACGGTGTGCATTTCTCGCTCGCAACGAAGTCGATTTCGGCCCGGACCCGCACAAGCAACATAGATCTGATTACTCTAACTCGACAATCCGTGCTCGGCAGGATCCTGCTGCTGGTACTCCCGCGCTGAGAGACGTTCTCCTTGTTGGCTAGTTATCGGAGCGGTCACAGGACTAATTAACTCAAAGACATGAGTACCTCTACACACACACACACGCACGCACGCCACGCACGCCACACGCACGCACGCACGCCACGCACGCACGCACCCACGCACGCATGCACGCACGCACACACCACACACACACACACACACACACACACACACACACACACACACACCACACACACCCACACACACACACACGAGAGACGGATCAGCGCGAGCCTGAACGAGCCAACATTATGATTGCATGCATCCCTACATGAATACCGGATCTCGTGCGTGCGAACCTCACAGTCACAGCAGCGCACATCTTATATGCGCGTATGGTCCATGTGGTATTGATTGACGCAGTAAGGTGCCGTGCGGTTAGGTAAGGTGAGGTGAGCCAAGGTAATGTGAGATAAGGTAATGTGAGGTAAGGTGACATGTCTGAGCGGTAAGGTGATGTGAGGTAAGGTGAAGTGAAGTAAGGTGATGTGAGGGTAAGTGATGGGATGTGAGGCGAGGTGAGGTGACGCGTGAGGGAGGCTGAGGTGAGGTTGAGTGAGGATGAGGTGAGGTGAGGTTGAGGTGAGCGTGAGGTGAGGTGAGGTGAGGTGAAGGTGAGTGAGTGAGGTGAGGGCTGAGGTGAGGCTGAGCTGCAGCGTGAGGTGAGGTGAGGCTGAGTGAGGGCTGAGCTGAGGTAGAGGTGAGGCTGCAGGTGCAGGTGAGGTGAGGAGGCTGAGGTGAGGGTGAGGTGGGTTGAGGTGAGGTGAGTGATGTGAGTGATGTGATGTGATGTGGAGGTGAGGTGATGCAGGTGATTGTGACTGTGAGGTGCATGTGAGGTGATGTGAGGTGAGGTCAGCGTGAGATGAGTGAGGTAGAGCGCTGATATGAGTGACGTGAGGTGAGGTGAGGTGCGCGCTGAGATGAGGGTGACGGTGAGGTATATAAGGTGAGGCGTGATGTGCATGTGAGGTGAGGTGAGGTGAGCCAAGGTAATGCTGAGATTAAGCTAAAGTGAGTGCAGGTGATGTGAGGGTAAGTGAGGTGCAGGTGAGGTTGATGTGATGTGAGCGTGCAGGCTGAGGGTGAGGTGATGCTGATGGTGACGTGAGGTGAGGTGAGTGAGGTGGATTGTATGTGAGTTGAGCGTGAGGTGAGGTGAGGTGAGGTGAGGTGAGGTGAGGTGAATGTGATGTATTGCTGAGGTGAGGTGAGGTAGGTGATGTGATGCCTGAGGTGAGGTAGGTGAGGTAGTGAGGTGAGGCTGAGGTGAGGTGAGGTGAGCGTGAGGCGTGCAAGGCTGAGGGTGAGCGTGAGGATGCAGGTGAGGTGAGCGTGATGTGATGTGCATGTTGACATGTTGCATGTGAGGTGATGTGAGGTGAGGCTGATCGGTGAAGGTGAGTGACAGGTGAGGTGCAGGTGAGCGTGACGGTGAGGTCGAGATGCTGCAGGATAAGGCAAAGTGCAAGTGAGGTGAGGTGATGTGAGGTGAGGTGAGGTGAGGTGAGCCAAGGTAATGTGAGATAAGGTGAGGTGAGGTGAGGTGAGGTGAGGTGATGTGATGTGATGTGAGGTGAGGTGAGGTGAGGTGAGGTGAGGTGAGGTGATGTTGGGTGGGGTGAGGGTGATGGTGAGGGTGAGGGTAAGGGCGAGGGTGAGAGTGAGGCTGAGATGAGGTGAGGTTAGGTACATTAATTTGTAGCACTTACCTATAATTGCAGTTCACCTATAAACTTATCCCGCAGTATACAATCCCGGTTGACAAGCCAATGCGTATAGAATAGTTGGCCGGAACACTAACACTGACAGACACCTGCAAGAAAAACGAACAACATAAATTTAATGAAAAACTTAATCTAAGCATGAAACTGAGTAAGAGGTCTGCAAGAAAACGGTTCGTGCTAAGAGCAATGACGCACAACAAAGCACTTCTATAAAGTTCTGATTTTAACTGCAAAACATGTAAATGCAATCTGCTCTAAAAACATGTACGGAGATAGATGACAGACGTGATGTATCATACCGTGCATTAATTAACTATTTGACATATAGAACCCTCCCTAATCATACCTACGTGTAGGAATTGAGGTACATATTGAACATTAAATTCCCAGACGTGTCACGTGACAAGGTCCCTAGAAGGAAGCCCTACATGTTAACTGTTTGGTTTTCGCAGGTTATTTCTAGGAAGTATTTAAGCCTTTCAATCTCACACTCGTAAACACATTCCACGTTTTGCTAAGCAGCAATAATTGACACGCCACTTAAGAGCAAATCACGATATTTTCACCTCAATTCATCACTGCCGTCACGACCTACTCCGTAACCGCAGTGTCTCTCCGCCGCAGGTATGCACGAAATACGAATCCAATATCTCGCAGCTTCATCTTCTCTGCACACACACGCGCGACTTTCTCACGACGTGCGGCTAGAATTGATGATTGCCCTGAGCCGCGCAATTGCTTGCACTTCCGTCTTACTCTAAAGACGATCGAACGAAGCAGAGACCCGTCTCGCAAATCAAAAGCCAGCAATGGCCTTATAGACTTACACACCTAGAAGGAGACGAGCGCGAGCATTGCAGTGGACGTCGTAACCTCGTCGCAGCGCCTCGTAGATTCACTCCACTCGCGATATAAATATATATATATATAGATATATAATAGATAGATAACTAAATAATAGATAGATATATATATATATATAAATAAATATATAATATATTCAGAACGGTTATAGTCTGCAGGTAGTATCAGGAACTGGAGTGAAACTAGAAGTGACGGGCCGACCCACGTGTGCACGAGGAATGCTCACGAACCTATAAAACCGTTTCCACACCGGCGAGAAAGTGGCAACCACCCAGCGTGCTGCTAGCTGCTAGAAGAACTTATGCACAGAAGTTAGACACAGCAGTCAGACAGTTAGTCAGCGCGGTGAGTAAGCCGCAGGCAGGCCGTGAGGCGCGCAGCTGGCGGGCTGAATGAACCCGGGGGCCTGCGCTAGAATTGAATCTCTCACGAGCCCACGCTGGTGAGAGGCGATCGTAGAATGGCGGCAGCCGAAGAAAATAAAGAGAAGCATGCAAACTCGTGCGCGTACGCATGCACGCACCGTAGCTCACACACACACACACGGGCACACCAACTCACACACGCGCGCTCGCACGCGCGCTCGCACGCACGTCCGCAAAGTCCACTCGCCGTTCGCGCCCACCCCTGTCTTTTTAAAGGAAACCTCGTTACGTCCGTGGAAATTGTTGCGTTACTGCGTGGATTGAAAAACTCGCGACGAAATTACCTTCGTCATCTATAGAAATGCCAGAAAGACGCCGATCGCGTATTTACCCAGAATCTTGTATTGCTATTATTTGATCAGGCTCGCATGCTCGCATGTTCTAAGTATGGTTCATGACTCCTGATAGAGCTAAAGACGGCTTGTGCAGGACACCACACGATCACATGGGATGCGCTTACTCCGCACGGAAATATCCGCACACATCAGAGGGATACGGAACTACAAGTCTTCTTTTTTCAAGGGAGTAGTGTAGTACATGACTCAGCACACACACACGCACGCGCGCACACGCATACGCACATTATAGCAATAAAATCGAATCTCGTCACCTGAGCTACAGCTTTCTTTTGCGAAGCAAGGACATAATTTTCTTGTCTAATCGGTCATCATAGGTAACCGTATAGCTGTCAAGTGCACCTCAGCGCAGAAACGCTGCAGCGCTAAACTCATAGAAATAATATAGATAGATATCTATCTATATTATTTCTATGGCCAAACTAAACACGCCTGAGCTAAAACTGCGCTCTTCACATTTCACCGCTTCCTCACCTATAGAGTTAATTAGGTGAGATTAATTAGCCGTGATCAACGCCCAGGCTATATACAATAGAGGTAGATTTGAACCTATATTTAGGCTCCAGGAATATCTCGCTCCCATGGTGCTCCGTAAGTAAGATAACTATACACATAAAAAGATCAGCGACAACGACGTCGACGACGACGAAGAAAAATTACAAAAGGAAGTACAAGTGTAAGATGGAGGAGGAGGAGGAGGAGCAGAAAACGAAGAAGAGAAAGACGAAGAATATGGAGGATGAGGAGGATGAGGAGGATGAGGATGAGGAGGAGGAGGAGGAGGAAGAGGGGGAGGAGGAAAAAGAGAAGAAGAAGAAGAAGAAGAAGAAGAAGAAGAAGAAGAAGAAGAAGAAGAAGAAGAAGAAGAAGAAGAAGAAGAAGAAGAAGAAGAAGAAGAAGAAGAAGAAGAAGAAGAAGAAGAAGAAGACGACGAAGAAGAAAAATAAGAATAAAAACACGTCAAATGTAATAATGAAGTACACCTGCAGTAACGCAAACACAAATACCTATATTACCTCTGAAAAAAAATCCGGCTAACTCGACAACCACATCGGAACCACGAGCATAGACAGGACATTTATGCACAATGCTTCGACAGGTGACAGGCTATGGCGTAAACGCAAATATCGGTCAGTTCGTCTATTCGTGTCTTGGGAAAACCCCATCGAATCCGTTATTATCTTATCTTGTTATCTTATTATCTCGTTATCTGGTTATTGCAATGTTGCACGAGGTCCATGGCGGCTGAAGGGAAGCCAGAAACGACAAGACACATCATGATCGTAGCAACGTCTACTTTATTGCCGGGGTAGCGTAAACTACATGCACAACACATTAGATACACTAGCGACTGTATTTGCCTGCGATTTCGCTGACATCCATGCGGCTAGCTAAATAGTGCGTCACTCCTATAATAGATGGTGATTTTACACGAACAACCTAATTCCCAAAAACGCACGCTTTCGAGGCATTTCGAGGAAGTTTGTTATTCAAGCAATATCTGCGTAAATTAACAGTTCGGCAGTTTCCAACCGAGTAAAAACAACTTGAACGCAAACAAATATTAAAGTGGTTGGCAGCCAGGAACATTTGGAAGACGCCTACTACTACAGCGGACTAGTAATTTGATAGACGAATCAACACAGACGAACCCCTAAATCTTTAGACAATCTACTTTCAGCTAGGTGTTTTCGCCAATCTGACCTGAATTCAATTTACGTAAGATTTACAACTACTCGTGAGCAAGGCTATTGCGCCCACTAAACAATCATTCAGTTGACAGCGAGGTTCTAATTTCGTATAGGTAATTTCCCGACGTCATCACGGGGTGCACACTACGGCTGTCCAGTTTGACACGTTTATGTCACATGTGTGCACGTGGTAATGTATGCACTGCTACAGTCATCCAGTTAGTTGCAAGCCATGAAATGTCAGTGTACGCCAGGGAGGTTGCACATATGTCAATTTACTGTTGATAACGGCTTTGTTAACGCGGATATTAATAACCATTATACAGATGAGGCTGATATTACGTTATCGACTGAACTATGTACAACGGCTCAGCAATAACTAGACATGATGCGGCCATGATGCCGAGGCGCGCCGAGGATTGACACTTTGTGTCTTCCAATCTAAGCCTACGCCGCACCAGTCTTTGATATTTTTAAATATGGGGGCCCATTAGACCACCAAATCGCCGATCTCAGGAACTAGGGCATTCTGCTATGTTAGAACGGTTTCGTACGATAGAGTTTGCCACAAATACGAAAACAACACGCTGTTTAGCGCACTGCGCTACGTCCTTCTGTTGAATTTTCGCATCTCCGTAATCAGAATAAGCCCCGCCTTCTTCGTTGATGGACATGAATGGGGCGTCACCGACGTGACCAGTTACTGTACCTACTGTCTTTCGCCAGCCTGTTTATTTTTCGTAAATAATGAAATGCCCGGCCGATGCATTTCGCATCGTAGTGGAAAATTTTCGGCATTTTCACTTGCTGTCGGAAGTGAACGAGTGCGTCATTCATTGAACATTGAAGTTTTTCTTCAAATTAAATAATTCCGAAAATCCCTAACGGCGCTACTCGATTGTTTTAGCCAATGAACGTAGCTGTGTGTGACGTCTTGCCCGCGCGCTTTATGCTTGGCTTAAGCTGGCAACACACTTCACCATTTTCGTTGCTCGTACAGGCGATTCTCGTGGTCGCCACAAAAATGGCCAAGTGTGCGGGGGCCGGCAACGACCACTCACCACGGAAATTTAGTGGTGACCACGAGTTGCCGAGAATCAAACCGGTTTGATTTCTCACCACGAAAATTGCTCGTGATGGCAACTTGTGGTGAAGTGTGCGCCAAGCCACCACGGCAATCGGCAACAAAATCACTCTCAGACCAATCAAAATTAGCACTGCCGTCACATGATTTCAAAATGGCGAGCCCAATTTTATCGACTTGGACCACCGAGTTAGAAGCAGAATTAATAGATTTATGGAGTGAGAGGCCTTGTCTTTTTGACATCAAAGCTCCCGAATACAGCAACAGAGTACTCAAAACCAATTCACCAATTCGAACCAAACATCTGTTCCGTATACTAGTGATCCATGTCTTCTGGTGCCGCCGTAGAATGACATAAATCTATACAAATATAGGGCCCCTAGGCCTAAGTAACAGAAATGTTGATAAAATTTATATATTTCCTTTATTTGATAACTGTATATGAATGGGTTAAAGCTACAACATCTGGCAACAAAAATTGCCGTCAACAGCACACGTCACCACTCAGTGGTGACGTGTGCTGTGACGCGGCAAAGGCCACAAAAATTGTCGACCACGAAAATTGCCTGTACGAGCAACGAAAATGGTGAAGTGTGCTGCGTGCTTTAGCGGGCCTCCAAATGGATATCGGAGGCAGGCACCTCGCAACACGCGTGTTTGTTTACATATAGCTGTGTGACGTACGGTGTTCGGGAGTTCTGCGATGATAACCTCGTAATTTCTCAGCATTTCTTAAGGTGCATGGCAAATTTTACCAATTTAGTGGTGTCAGTTGGTCACGGATATGTCACAGTAAGTACTAACCGTATATGTTTCACATACGTTCACCTATTTTGCACACAGGCGGTCGATCATTGTGAAAAATTGTGTGAATATATATTTTTATTGAGACGTTCCAAGTGCCTGTGCTTTCAACAGTCTTGTACGTCAATGCACGTGCGTCAAGAGCCGCAAACTCAACACATCATCTCTGTTATTGTTGACGCCTGAATGCGTGATTGATCAGGGAGGGGGGAGGGGTGCATGTAAGAGAGAGACATTTTCTTTGAGGTTCCGAAAAACACAATTCCACTTGACAATTTCATGGACCATTTCAATTGGAAGCTCTGCATAATGGACCCCGAACAAGCCCTTTGACTGGCTAGTCAAGAAATTCAAAGGTCTGTATATTGCTCTTATTTAGCCGCCGATAGTTCTTATTTAGAACAAAGTGTTCATTGTTATCTTCTAAAACTACAGACCATCCGCTGACCGCTGTGGAGACGTGCGCCGGGCCTCGAATTTGGCGCACGTATCCACTGCGGACAGCGCTTCATACTTGTACATCCCCGCGGTCGCGTGCGCATATCCCGCGGAACTGCGCGTCTCATCCGCGTGCAGCGCTCAGGATCTACAGCAAAGCTGTGCCACGCAATCTTGTATCATGTCTCTCTGGATTACACGCAGGCTAGTAATCAGAGAAGACTGATAAATATATGGGGTTTTAATTAGGAATGTTTTCCAATTAGAAGCTGAAGTATTTATTATCTCGTGTAAATATGCGCTACATCTCAATAGATCTTAATAACATTTGCAATAGATTTTTGACTAAATATGGCTATTACCGCTAATTTATTTGTTTTCACATCCCCACTAGTTAGGGTTCAATCTATTCTGTTTGGCTTAGCATTAATATATGAGTGTTATTGTCCGCACATCGGTGTAAAAAAACATCACAACATTAAGATCCCGCTGTGCATCAAATCAACAAATCCACAAAATTTAACGGTTCCTCATGACTGCCTGTCCCAGTGGTCAATTTTTTCATAAACTGTTCATGTACATAGCATATTTTGGATTGCTTCGCCTAATTAAATTAAAATCCCATTTCGAAAGAAACGCGGAGAAATCGCAGGTGCGAATTATGTACTATTGTCGCTCAAACTGCAAAATTTTGAACAGGAAATTAAAGAATAACGACACTACAGTCTTCACTATTATTTGAAGTTAAATTAGGGTTTACATAGACTATAGCCATCTCAGAGTGTTCAACATCATTGAGAAAACACCAAAGTCATGCTTTTAAAATCAAGTTGCTATTGTCTTTTAATTATTATTGAACAACAAAGATCTAGCATAATTAAAATCTTGTTTAACTGAAACATGCTGAAAGCCCTAACCTGTTGTTCTGCGCTAAATGAAAAATACGTACACAACCTGAGCTAAGTCATTATAGACAGAAAAGTGGCTACAGTCTAAACATGAAGGAAGTAATACCGTGTGACCAGACTGAGACTGCCCCGATAACTGCATGGCAACCGTGCATTGATCAGGTAGGGTGTAATTTTTAGCACGTTGGTGCAATTGCACAGTGTGAGCAATTCAAATTCGCTGGGTTAACACTGCCAACTTTGTGTTGGTGAATTGCCGAATTGTAACTCGGTAACTTGTCGCACACAGTAGCATCACGTCATCACAAGAACCCCCCCCCCTCCCGCCACACACACACACACCCACACAGTTATATACGCAGATAATGCGCCTAGTTGCATAATAACTTGATAATAACACACAGCAACATCACGTCATCACAAGAACCCCCCCTCCTTCTTCCCACCCCACGCCATCCCAACCCACCCCAGTTATACCCGCAGAACAATGCGCCTAGTTGCATAATAACTTGATAATAACACACAGTAGCATCACGTCATCACAAAATCCCACCCACCCAGTTATACATGCAGAACAATGCACCTAGTTGCATAATTTCACACAGTAGAATGACGTCAGAGCAGCGCGGGAGGTGAGTGCGAGACGCCAGACCGTGTAATACTTCCGACAGTGAGATTACAGGGGATCTAGATCGGCAAACAATCAACACCACGCGACTGCAATAACAACTCAACCCTCTGACCGGTTTCATTTCTTCTCCGCGCCGCGACGCGTCTGCGAACATGTACGCGCCACGAGAAGAGAAAACGAGAAGAAAAAGAACGAGCGAAAAAGAGAATGAGAACCAAGAGAACGAGAAGCAAGAGCGCAGACGAATTCGTATCGCGTCTGCGAAACAGTCACTCACCCCGAGCGTAAATACGGCAGGAAATGCCCAACACGTGTGCGAGGATGCTTCCTTCCCGACGCTAACGACTAAAATAAGCAAGACCATGACGGTGAAGACCAGCAGAAATAGCTGCGTGCAAGGCGAGGCAAGCACAGGAAGCTGCCTGCCTGCCACACAGGCCATGGCCGGCCATACACGCCGGCCTGTCGGCTACGCTGCATGCGCGTGCGAATGCTTTTGGAGACATTACACAGACATGACGTCTAACTGCGTGTGCGGGCAGTGGAGTGGGAGGGAACAGTGAACGTGGTCCGTAGCTACCAGTCACTACTCTAAGGTTGACAACTTGCAATACAGGATCATAATGCATTGAAATTCATCTCGAAAAATATCTGGACGCATTCTAGGTTTGCAAGCGAAGGTGTACCCCGGCTAGTAATGATATTGATAAAAATATTTAAATTCAAATATTGGATTCGTTTGAACCCAAACATTGTGTATGTATAACAAGGCAATCATTGATAGGGCAGCTTTATTAAAAGATGTTTGCACGTAGTGGTGGGGTCCTATGGCCTAAGTCCATTACCACTACAGCTTTTTAAAGACGAAACAATTTTTCATGCCCATATTGTCTCTGAACGTCGTCCGTATTTATTCAAATAGATTACTATATAAATCCTTGGAATCGTAGGAAACAGCTTTTCAGCAGGAATGTCAACAATCCTCGCTGCCTGGAGTCAGCACAACCAAGTCGATGGAAAAATAATCAGCATGGGTATGACGGGGCCTGAGGCGAATACCACGACTGGGTAAATAATCTCGACTGCTAGCAAAAAACACAGTAGTATACTTGTGTACTTGTGATAGACGAGTCAGTCGAAAACAAAGCACTGTGCAGTCTAAACATGCAACGCAGAAATAAAAAAGAAGGATTAATCTTACTGGAATCGTACAAGCTAAAGAGACTAGAACAATCCACTTTTATCAGCGGCGGAACTACTGATGAATAAAATCACCTACCAACAACTACACCTCACAACTATGAGCTTAACTGATTGATCACACCACACTCAAATTAATCCGCATCCTCATCTTTCTCCTCTCTCTTTTCAATCCTCTCCGTTTTGCGCGAATTGCTCTCTGGCGATGAAGTGCGCATACATCGACGTTCACTGATGTCAGATTGAATAAGAGCAGGTAAAACGAGCGCGAGTCCTCGAGATTATCAGAATGGTGTTCGTCGTACGCGGATGACGGCGTTGCACTGTAGCCAGACAAGGGAAGCAGGCAGAGCGCTCTCGCTGTTTGCCGCGGGCCGTAGGACAGTCTGTTGGCATGCAGCCAGCCACGCGCGGGGGCGCGGCGCAGGATTAGGGATGGGAAGTGATATCTGCGTGTGCGTCACGCTCGGCGTGATTATGTGTGCGCATAGATAGGTACACGGTATCACGTCTCGCTTGCCAGGCGCGGCGGCTCGTTTTCAGCACCTCACCCACACATATACACGTCACCCCAACCACGTAGGCGCAATGTGTAATGTCAGAGGTAACATCGCAGACACATAATATCTTCATACCTGTACTCTCGATCGCCTTTTTTACCCGTATACTCAATATTACATACTACATAAACGATATATTATATACTATAAAAGATATACTAACTACATACTACATACACTACATATTACATACTATATACGATATAAAACATACTATGTACTATATACTGTATACTATGTACTCTATTCTATACATACTATACACTGTATACTATTATACATGCCTCGGTATATATCTGCATGCTCTTGGATTCGATATTTACCTGTATACTTGTCTGTTCGTCTCTGTATGCGTGTACCTAATCACACTTGCCGATCTGTTCACCTGTACACTCACTCGCACACTTCTTTCTGCATATGAACATACGCGTACTTGATGAATGTGTTTAGGATTTTTTTTAATTAGCAGGCCCATTAGCATGGATGCGTACAGGTTTCGCTATAGCGATAATGGCGGGCGGAACTGACGGAGGACGGTTAGCGATGGTTCGCCTCGAGAAGGTTGCTTCGATGACATGACATGCATCGCGCATGACACTCACAGGCACTTGGAACGTTTCAATAGTAAAATGATGGTATATAAACACGAAATGTATTTACTACCAAAGTCTTAATGTTTCTCGGCGGCGGTACTCTATTTCGCCTATATTATTGCCGATAACGTCAGGACTGTAAATGTCGTTCAAATGCTCCTCTGCAACACACAAGTACACCGCACGCACGCCGCTGTGCACAAACAACAAGAATAAATTTTGTTTTCATGTTTATTCTCTTATTTCTCTAGTATGCGCACACATCTCTTTATTCTTGTTGTTTGTGCACAGCGGCGTGCGTGCGGTGTACTCGTGTGTTGCAGAGGAGCATTTGAACGGCATTTACAGAAAGTTATCCGCAATAATAGGCGAAATAGAGTCGAGAAACATTAAGACTACTAAATACATTTCGTGTTTATTTACCTTTTTTTATTGAGACTTTCCAAGTGCCTGTGGCTTCGACGACATGCATCGCGCATGACACCTCCTGCTACTCGCTCCTATGCGCGCTATACGACTTCACAGCTCGGCAGGAAATGATAGCGATCCATCTGCATCGGAGTTTTACCGCCGCCGCTGCCGTGTTAGTTGATTATACGGCCACCGGGGGCAAAGTTGTTATCAATAATCAACACTGACGACTTCCTACCAATAGCTATAATCACAGTTGTATAATCACAGACTTATTTCAACTACATGTTATCAGGAGTGTGTATAATATAGAGATATCTCTATATCCCTATATTATCTTATATATCTATGTGTTTAGATCTCTATATCATACACGCCTGATGTTATCATCAAAATTATGTCATAAAAGACTACACGACAGCTTATAGGAATGAAAAAGACCCGCGTTGCTCAGGCTTGATTAGAGACATTGGAAATCAATGGGAAAGCTATAGGCTCACGCGTTAGGACTACATTTGAACGTATTGCTAGGAGTAGAAGCCTGTAGGATAAGTATAGGTGCACCTATGGGTAACACCGATACATCAAAATATGAATCACATACCAGGCAGCCAGTGCAACAAATCCGTTTCTTCTATCCCACGCGAAATCGCATACCACCTCGCCTTCGCCTTCTTCGCAATTTCATTATCGCTAATTAAATAACGACTATATCTATCACTCGCTATAGGGTGAATGGTCAAATTCCTAGCGACGCGTCAAGCATGCACAGTGCACAGACACCCCGCAGCGCGAATTCCTACACGCATGCCAGACCGGTAGTATATATGTGACTTTCTCCGGAAAACGTCCGGCAGCAACGCTTTATCACGTTTGCAACTTTCGGCAACAATCGAAACCGGTGCGATTTTGGGAGCGTTATGTCTACGGCCCGCAGTCACGCCAAGATCACAATCTGACAATTACTCCCACACGCGAAGCGCAGAGAGAAACCTCGACTAGCAGGTTTTAGATTTCGCCAGCTAAATGCCAACGAGAAACTTCGAAGGCATGCCAATGCGCAAGTCCCACACGTTTGCGCTACACGTCATGCGTATAACACGGTCACACGCTGTAATCTAAACACATGCACACTGTACGGTTCCAACCGCTCACGCACTGAGACGGTATACTCCTCAATGCTCAAAGAAGTACTCACTATGGACTCACTGTCGTGGTACAGCACTGTGGACGGGCCGGCCTGACATCCGATCGCAAACACACGAGGCAGACACACAAACACCGGTGTGTTTTTTCGGAAAGCAGCGAATAAACTCCCCGCCGTTGAAACGAAATGCAATCACTCTCAGATGTTGCGACTCCTCTTTCAGCACGGCCGGCCGATTTCCGCTCCAACGCCACGCAGACGATCGCGGTGAGCTAGCGCGCATGCGCGCATCCTATTGTTTTTCCCATCTCATCCTCGGGATAAGATTTGTTTTCGCGGTTCGAAGCAGCACGGCAAAAAGTAATGTTACAAACGAGTGGGAAAGCGCAGCAGGGCTCGAATGAGAGCGAGAGACAGCGCAGTGATAGCTGCTGTACGACACGCCGACTGCCGACAAAAACGCTGTCAATTAGATAACGCGCTGCTGGTACACAGTAGGCACTCGCCACCGCTGCTCTTGGAGCGCCGGGCTCCACTTACGGCTGGCTGCTGCATGGCCAGCACAGCTGTTCAACATGTTCAGCTGGCAGCAGCTACCGTGCTACTACTGTTTCACGAGCAATGATCAATGAGCGAATAGGGGCAACGATGACTGCCATGCTTCACGATACCTGCTGCCATGCGTGCTGGCTGTTACAGGGGGTAGGTAAGGAATACAAGACCACTGAGCAAGCAGGGTAGCGCAAGCGACTTGCTACCTTGCATCACGATAATATCTTCTCTAACCTCCGTCACGAGTGCTTATAATAGGCGATTAGATAACATCAAGAGTCCATAATAGATACATTAATAAAGAGTCCTCTATTATGGACTCATGATAACATCTAGCAGGGCACTCCCTCTTCAACGTTTCTGCGAAGCTCACTTTTAAACCAACTAGACCGATCATAGAAATATATATCGATATCTATATCTATATCTATATCTATATCTATATCTATATCTATATCTATATCTATATCTATATCTATATTATGTCTATATCACTATATGTCTATCTATATTATTTCTATGAGACCCATGCCGGCAAACTCACACCTTCCTCGAATCACAGCGACACTCTACGGTGGTGCCATCTACCTGAAGAACCCGACTTCTTACGCTGCGTGCGCGAAGCTAAGGCGAACGCAAATTCAATTGATTGCCTTCACTTTCTCGTGTGCGCGGAACATCTACTCGAGATTACCTAGGGTCGTCGCGCTCGCTACGCACAGAAACACGTGGAGACGAAGCTATCGCAGCGACGGGAGCAGGGCGTCGCCGTGCAGGGTCGCGGAGCAGCGACGGAACTCCTAGCCTAGATTAGCAGCGGCTTAGCACTGGACTCGGGGTGTCGATCGGCATCATTTCCACCGCAGCGCTATCACACGCTCATTGTCAGCGCTAAACAATTAAATGCCGATCACCGATCAGGCGCTCTTCCTCCCTCCCCCGCACACACGCGCGCTCCGACCAGCAGCAGTAGCTGTGCGTATACGTCAGCGTGTGCCGATTACGATCGCGAGAACAAGCGGATATCGTGGGCGGGAAATCTACTCGCTGATTAATGCGGTTAGTGGGCTGCGCCACACATAAAAGAGAAAGCGCACACTATAGTTTCATCGCCAGGAGCTAGCAGACACGTGAGAATGACGCATCCCGCGATTACGTACCGCTGACGCTAATAAAGAATCCCTGCAGTTAACCCTAGTCAGAGCTGAATAGAATAGCATGCATATTAATGAGTGCACGAGGTATTAAACGCTCATCGGCAGGACTCTCGTTACTACAGGATTCAAATAAACAATATTGTGCAAAAACTGCGCATAAAATACGAATTTCGAATATCATGGGTTAGAATGGAGTTTCGTTATGCTGAATCTATATCGTCATATATATATATATATATATATATATCAATTAATTAACCTCTCTTAAAACTGCAGCAGTATGGGATGCTATAGTATCAGTAACGTGGCTAGTCTGAGAAAAATAAATAGCATTCCCCCATATAATTACTTTCGTGTGTAATTTCTAATCAAACTCCCCTTATATTGCACGAATACGTTTTTTAAACCAAGTTTCACTTCGGTTATCATTCCATACAAACCCAACCCTAACAATATGCGAGCTATAATTAAAAAAAAGTAATTAATGCACGTGGCCCTCGGGGGTTCTGGTGAATAATACATGACCCATAGCGAGGAACACATCGCACAGAGAGCTCATAATTACTATGCCTGCATAACGTACTTTGGCTTCGTTTTGTGTCACAGATGTTTTTTTCGTAAGTGGCAGATGGTGGTCGAAAGCGTCTGAAACACTCACTAAAATGAGACATCACATGACCACCAATGCGTAGATAAGGCAACTGTGTCATCTTATGTTCTTATGGGTGGCCATACTGACTACCTCATCAAGTATGTATGCTACAGCAGGCAATTATTTCATGCTACATAGTGGTCAGAGGAATAGGTTGGGTTTCATATAAAAGAAATATGTGATCTAGATTATATATATATATATATATATATACCCAATATAACGTGAACTTTGGGTGACTACTATCGACGCTCTGGAACGTTTCGCAGTATATTTAATTACACCGAACACCTACGAAATTATCTGTATAGATGATGTCTCGTTGAAAAGCACGTGAATCATATTACTTCAAATTCAAAATTGAGTAGGCAAATAGTTTTAATGAGTGTAAAAAACATGTCCTACTCCGTGGCTATATATTAAAAAAGTAATCGGAAAAAAATCGCTAAAAATACAGTCATAATGTCAACCGAACGTAATCACATGATTAGCAGTAGCGCTACATTCCGGCTCACATATTCCTACTGGATAATATTAATTTATCCCATACAACATGGTGCTATAATTCCCATATTTCTAGATTGATCATTTCTATGGACAATATATGCTGTGGTATTATTCCCCGCTGGACAACATCCCCCTTGAAGAATTCTCTGCGTTTCTTATATATTATATTATTATATATATACAGAAATACAAAAACATATACACATTTACCATAGATACCCGCCGCGCAATAACGCGCCACGCAATAACGCGAATTAGTACTCAAAGCGAATTATCACTGCCTCATTCCTCTTCTTCTTTCTCTCGTTCTTTTACCTTCAAATTCAACACCACGGTTGCCCTGCTTGTTTTTGTTTTCATCAGCCGCATCAGTTTTCGCTAGGTCCAGCATTCATTAATGATTACATATCTAAATAACAGCCGCCCCATTATTAAACCTTTTATCTACCGTTCTCAAACTATCTATATCTTCTTTCTGTTTGTATATCACCACACCCGACATCGATCTATAAGTATATCTCACGCTACCCAACGTATCTATCCGGAACACGCGGAGAATAAACATCGCAGTCATACTGCTGTCTTATTAAATATCACAGGCTTCCTAGCTGGACCTAACAGGAAAAATCATTTTATCTATTATATTGTATTACATATATATATATATATTATAAGATATCAACTCTTGATAGTAATATATATATATATATATATACTATAAATTTCCCAGAAACGAATGTAAAGAATTCTGAAACCTACTTATAGCGTAGCCTAAATGTTTCGCGAATGCCAGAGCATATTATTGACTTATGACCACACCTACGGAGTTCGGCATCAATGCTGACACCATAATACAATGCTGCAAACCGAACGTGATGTAACCTTCCAAAGCACCATCCACAAACCCAGGCTACGCTGTTCATCGCAGACTTCGTCTTTACGTCATGCACATTTCGTACACAGCTGTGCATAACATCGCCGCACGATTAGACAGCGCCCGTTAATCACATAGCGATCAAACTGCCTCTAACGTCGGTGCTCGACACTCGGACTCCGAGTCTTAGTTGGCTCGAGCGTACGTAATCATCTAAAACCAGGAGTGACTAATAAAGTGAACTCTAATACATAATCTCTCAATAATGCTCATTATACTCTTGATCTAACGTAATACTGTGAAAGCGTATATCATGTAAAGCATCTAACTAATCATCTAACACATAACAAACATACATAGTACACCAATCCTAAAAGGGCGCACAAACCAACGGGCAATTGGCAATTGCGAGAACTCCTGCACGCTTTCCGTAACTGCTGTCGGGCTGAGTGAGTGTGTGAGTGAGTGTGTGAGTGAGTGAGTGAATGAGTGAGTGTGAGGGGGTGAGTGAACCGCATAGCGACGGTTTGTAAACAGCGATCATTGACGCGCGTCTAGAGTACCCCCTCCCTCGCGGGCGCCGCAAGGGAGGAAGGGCCCTCATGGGTGCCGAGGGGAGGGAGGGCGCTCATGGGCGCCGCGAGGGTTGGGAGGGAGCATTTACGGGGGGGAGCTGAGAGGGGGAGGGAGCTCTCACGGGCCCGCAGCCACAAACCTGACGAATACGTGACAGCTTCCCACGGATGACACGACGCAAACACTGGCGCGCGACGTCACGCGTCCGCGCGCCGACAGAACTACCACGATGCGACGATCGCATCTCGCTTCCCGAAAGACAAAATCGACAGACATTTCTGGCCGAGACTCGGGTCTGAGTGACGTCAGACGCAAGACTGTCAACAAGACGAGCGTCGCTGGTATAGCATCACAGACAACCCCCTTATATAAAACGAACCCCTTTAGATAGCACGCGGTCGAGAAGTCAAATCCCCATGCGCATGCGCAACGCGCCATGAGCCCTGCTAGTCATGTCCATAACCGTGCGCAATGTAGAAGGGAGACGCTTTCCATAGGGGG